CACATCATTTGAATCCCTACTGTCGAAGCCTGAAAGGCATGACGTAAAATTCAATTTAAAAAAAAAAAAAAGTCATTTTCGTATTTTTTACATGGAAAGATATAAAACCGAACAAAAAGTAGCTAACATCAGGGCACAACAGATTTCGTCAACATATGTTCAAATTTTTCGGTGTAGGAAATACTGAAATGTGTCCATGCAGCGTGGCACCCGAAAATGCTGAGCATGTGCTCCAACACTGTCAACTGTATGCTGACAACAGAGACGCAATCTGGCCTGTTCCAACCACACTGAAGACAAAACTGTATGGTACACGAGAGGATATGGATTGCACGATAGCTTTCATAAAGGCTACCGGCCTCCTGATATAAGTTTTATGACAGAAAGATCGAAGAAGAAGAAAAAGAAGAAGAAGAAGAAGAAGAAGAAGAAGAAGAAGAAGTCACAATAAACACAAACCGTCGCATGCCAATCGGAAGGTCGTGGGTTCGAGCGGGACTTTTGTTTTTTTAAACCTTGACTCTTAGGTCTACCCAGCCTTGAGTGAGTACCAGGTGCAGTCCTGGGAAGTAATCGAGGCCAGAGTGATGCTGACCACCCCACCCACCAAGTGCTGATTGGTCTATAAAAAGATAGGCCTAGCCCTATATTCCCAATACCCCTAAAGGCGTCTGAAAAGGGACCTTTACGTTTTACAAACAAACCGTGAACGTTGCGTATCCTTTACAGGACATTGTAGAACCAACCACCAACATATTTGGGCTGATGGTGATTTCACTATTCAACGTTAACGTTCAGTAGTTTGCCATTGCTCTCTGGACGCTCAGCTCTCGATACCACAGTGGGAACCAGCGCAAGGCGATCTACTGCCAAATCGACCATCGCTGGGATAGAGCCCGGTATCTTGGAATTACGAGCCGCACTCGCAACGCTTAATTAAGCTATAGATGCCGACTAAAATATTTCACCAAAGAGAAATTGAAAATCCTGGTGATTTGTGCAGAAAAACATCGCCTTAACTGCTTATTTTTTTTTTTAAAGGGCTGTGTGGGACAGAAACAAAAACATCATCATCATCATCAAGTGTATTGCCTCTCCACAATCTGCAACTGCGTATATCATTTTTGTGTGTTGACACCACTCTACGTCATGCCAAAAGGCTGGCAAGAATCTTCTCGCGCTGACTTCTTTTCTCTCTTTCTTTCCACAGATATTTCCAGTGGTCACAACATGTTCCAGTTTCCCGCTTCCCATAACAGGACTAAAATAATGATGGCTGTCTATTTCTGATGTTTGTAATAAGTTGTCTTCGAGCCCTCACCTCTTTTAAAGCATACTATTTTTTAAATCCTAATGGTAAGCATTTTTTAAATGTAAAGTCTTTTATTTGATCAATAATGTTATCACACGGGCTTGTCAAATCAATATGCCGGTGTGTGTGCAGGTTGGAAAGAAACTTTTGTCTGTCCTTCATTTGTCAAACCCCGAGTAAACATTTGAATTCGATTAAATGTGAGAATTCACCAACTTGGGTGTGTACAATAGCCACAGAAACTATTTAAGCTAATTATGAGGGAAGGGTAGAGGGGAGGTGTTTGTAATTTGTTCATGTTTATGAATGAATTAGTGAAAGAATGAATGAATGAATTGATATCCCTACACTCGTGACATTTCCACACGTGCTCCATCTCCTTCTTCAGTAGGCAACGAAGAGTAGATATGCTAACTGTACCTACTGCGACCTGATTAAAAGCCTGCCTATATTTTCCTTGCAGTGTTGAAAATCTTGCAGACTCCCCGCTCACCCCTGGCCATGCTTATCATCATCATCATCAGTTCTCGTTATGCCTAGTGGCACATGAGGCGCCAGAGAGGACTTCCCATGCTTTCCTGTCCTGTGCAATCTTCAGTGAAGTTTTCCATGTCAAAGATGCCGCACTCAGGTCACTTTCCATCGTTCGTCTCCATGTTGTTTTTGGGCGCCCCTGTTTTCTCTTTCCCTCTGGTGTCCATGTGAGAGCTGTATTGGCAGGTATATCAGAAGTCATTCTCATAACGTGGCCAAGCCATTTCCATCTTCTCTTGGTAATCATATGGCTATGTTTATACGTATCATCATGAGGTGCCTTGTCGACTGGCGTGGGCGATCATACCTCTCTATAATCTGCGATCTCCTGCAGCATGTATCAGTTCGTGTGCCGACACACCTCCATGCCATGCAACAAGACTGTCAAGCATCTTCTCTCGTTGTCTTCCTCTATCGCTCCTTCCACAGATCTTTCCAGTGGTCACAAAATGTTCTATTTTCCCTTTTCTCATAACATGGCCGAAAAATGATGACTGTCTCCTTCTCATGTCTGTGATTAGTTGTCTTCAGGCTCCCGCCTCTTTCAAAACGTTTTGGTTGCTCTTTTTGGCTGTCCAAGGAATCCTAATAATTGAAGAGAATTGCAGAACAGGCACTGCGACAGAGAAAAAATGTATTGTGGAAACAAAGACGTCAAAATACACTCACACATACACACGCTCACACATACAACATAAACCGAACATTCATGAGAGAGGTCAGCAGAGGTGAAGGACTGAAGTCCGTCCATGAACTCGAAATGAATGCACAAGCTATATAAGGGAAATGAAGGATTACACTGCTAGTCCTACGTGACATATAATAGCATTTGTTTTCTAAGTATTCAGAAACCAAGAGTTGTAAACCCATTGGCTCGGTACTATGGATATCGCAACTCTTCCGCCTTGATTCCATGAAATATACCGTAAATCTGGGATAAATGTGGCTTTTCTGCCTACCCCAGGGCGTGAACCCGGACCACATGGAGTTCGTCACCCGGTCGCCGCGAAGTCAGGTTTAACTAACTACGCTAGCGAGCCGGGCTTATATCGCAGTTTCTAAACTGAACGCCTTCCTTTTCAACTCGCCCGAAGGAACTCGATCTCTCTCCAGTTCTCCCTTGTCGTGCACTTCCCACCCAAGAGGTCTTCCACACCCACGTTCGGGCTGGTCGGACCCGGCTTCTCTTTCCCGGTACCATACCAGCCACTACTGTACATTTGAAACACAATGGCGCTAGATATGGCCACAATATTATTCTCGAGACAAGACGTTAACTAGCCATGGCTGCATGCTGCATACGTAACGACGCAACTTTCTCTAGATAACAAAAATGGTTGCTTGTCGCCAGCTGACCACCAGGCGGTACTATTTTGCCACATCACAGAGGAATTATGTCTGTTTGGATAACATGCTTTGCTTCATAGATAGCGTTTTTGTTTTGGTTTGTCGGCTCTGTGGCTAAGTCGATGCGAACGCTTCGTGATGCTGGGGTGCCAGGTTCGATCCCAGCTGCAAGCCATGCACCTTGCGTCGGTTTTAACAGTGGTATCAAGAAGCCGAGCGTCCAGAGAGCAATGGCAAACTACTTGACGTAAATTTGCCTAGAGAAACCACACAACAGCCAGGGGCTGCTAGGGTTGGTTCTGCAACGTCCTGTAAAGGATTCGCAACTAACCAACCTGTATTAAAATCAGTTTCTTTATCCAATTGTTGGATTGTGTAGTTGTTTACTGCAGACTGCAGGCCCGGCTCTCTAGCGGAATTGGCTAAACCGGATTTCGCGGAGACCGGGTGACGTACTCCTTGTGGTCCGGGTTCAATCACGGGGGTAAGCAGGAAAGCCACATTTTCTCCCAGATTGACGGTATTTACAATGGAATCAAGGCCGAAAGATTGCGATATCCATAATACCGAGCCTAAGGGTTAACAACTCATGGCTTCTGGATACTAAAACAAACAAACTGCAGACTGCAGTGGTCACGTCATTGTTGGAAGCAGTTCAGGAGGGCTCTTTTAAGATTAGAGTCCTGCTAGGATTGGTGATCTAAAAGTGTAATCTAGTGTCCTCAGTCAGTTCATTTCATCGGTGTTTTAAGCTTGGTCAACAACAAATGTCACACAGTTACATATTGAGTATATCATGTTTGATAAACCATAAGCATTGTTTCGAAATCACCTGCAACCTAACACTACATTCCTCTGATTCATAGAATAATGGAGTACAGACCCTCAACCAACTTGTCCCAAATCGTTCTACGCAGACTTTGCAGCAAAACCATCTTCTATCCAAGTTATTCACATTAGCCGCCAATTTTCCTTTTCGTTTGTCTTCTACTGCGCTCATCCCTAAACAGGCGTTTTTAAACTGTGTTACGTTTGCAGATAGACTGCGATTATCAGCACATTACATTTTAGGAAACCTCTTATTAGTAGCCTTTTTGATGCTCGTCGGAGAGGCAGTAGGTCTGTTTTTCTCTTCTCCCAAAAAAGGACCCCGAAACCCATAAGGGAACAATCTTCATATATTATTTGAAGGTGTTTACAAACGCTGTCCATATTATTTACCTCCGACCATTTTGCTGCTCTTTTGAAAACTGTTTATAATTTGTATGTAGCATTACCGAACTCACGCAATACCGTAATAATCTGTTGCCGCTATTTTGAGAACCCATAATCCGTTAGCAGTCTCACCTACTTTCCCTTGATGTTCTGTTTGAATGGATGGCTGCATACCTGTAAAACCAAAGAACGGAAAACACCAGAGAAGAATCAATCAATAAACTGATCGGAGCCTATCAGAACTTGATCGATACGTTAGAAATTCATCCGCAAAGTGCGACTGAGTAACAGAATCCAAGCATTTAAATATTCCGAGAGTCAAAACAAGCGGAAAGAATTCCATTTACTCAAGGAGGGGGTGGAAAAGAAGGGACTCTTGGAGCGCTGGCAGTTTGTTGATGTTACTATCGATGGTTGTTAAGGCCGCATGGAATGAAAGATCCCGCTGATATCTGTTGTCGTCACTTATTCGAAAACAGCTCAACCGTGGCATCAGCAGTTGCGGCAGAAGACAGAGCTTGTCTCCGTTTATTAGATAAACTGCTCATTGTAAAAGCACGTTAACTCTTCAACTACGGGGCTGAATTAAGAGATGACGACCGACTATGAGCTTGACATGTTCAATAGGGACCCGAACGGTCTCAACGACCATGTTAGGGTACGTAAATGTGTATAAGTTGTCCGTTAGTGTTGGATTTGAAACACGTGACTTTTGTGAAATATGTATATGTAATTAAAACTATTAAATGGATTTAAAAGTTTAAAGCCGAATACAACATTTCCAGTAAAATTCCTTGCTAAGAGAGACACTAGTAAAAGCCAAACTTTATGGGCCGCTAAGTGAATTACAAAAGACAGCGAAGTTCATACTAGAGACAACATTGCAGACATAGATAATTTATTTCAAGTGATCGAAAGAAGAAGATAAGTTATATCTTAGATTAAACACACACCATTTATTGCGTGTTAAGTTTGTCTGTTGTACGTTTGTTGCTGTGTGTATTTGCACTGTCTGTGTTAAATACATTTGTTCCGTTTGTTAGTGTTAGCGATATTTCAAGCATGAATGTACAGTTATGTTAATGTTTATTCAATGGATCAACATCACAACACACGGGTGAAACCCAAAAGTGCTCCGTTCTTCTTCTAACTCAAGCCCGAGTCTGAAACAGCTCAGCGCAGTGAACGAACTCTGTTGCACCGTAAAGGATCCTGAAATACTTTGGGTACATTTTAAACTCAAAATTGTGCCTAAACAGCGCCGCTAGGCTACTCTTTTCGATTTCCAACTGTCAAGGGATTTTTCACGTGCGCAACAATACACACGGGCGTCCGGTCTAACTACCAAGAGACCAGGGGAAATTACTAGAAGTCCACGTGAAAAAATCTCAGCCTTCACCGGGACCTGAACCCGCGACCTCCAGCCCTTGAGGCGGTCGCCATGTTTCGAGACCACTGGTGCTGTTGGAACTGAAACTCTGCGCTGGCTGCTGAAGATAGGAAAGGATCACTTATGGAAATGTCCTGAGTTCAGCATTGTTGATTTTTAATTCAACATTCAACAGTTGGTACAAACAGCTCAATAATCAGCTGCTTTCTCTGGTATGCTTGTCGATATTTTGATATATCAAAATTACATAACTTCTGCAAGGGACGCAACAACGAACTTAATACATTTCCCCCACCCCTCATTTAATTCTGCAACGTCCTGAAAAACCCAGCCTCGACCCAGCCTCAAATGGGTACCAGGATGGCTGTCCTGGGGAAGTAAAGACGGCCGGTGTAATGCTGACCACATTACTCACCGAGTGCCGATTTGTCTGTAAAAAAAATATGGGACGCTCTGCCCATATGCCCGATGCGCCGAAAGGCGTAAAAATGGATCTTTACTTTTTACTTACTTTACATTTAATTCTAGAAATCAGGGACGGTAATCACACTAGAAAAAAAGGGGGTTGGGAGGGGGGGGGGGGGGGGGGGGGTTGAGAAATGATTGCGATTTAGTAAATGGCTTATATCGAGCGTGCCTAGAATTTATTACATACACCGGTTTTCAAATGAGAAAGTGCCCTTTATAAGGCACGCAGATTCCTATTCGTATGATATGCAACAAAGGGCGTGGAATGAACTGCGGATCGATTTAGCACAAGTCTTGAATGAGTTGATCGAATAATTGTACTCTACGCGTAAAGTCGATAAGGATAACTATCATTATTATCATAATCATCATCATTGTCGATTTCCACTTCTTGCGTTAAGCGTTGTGGGAAGGACGATTTTGCGATCCATTGCTTGATAGGTAGCATTGGCTAGTGTCCTTCCGTGTCGATGTAGAAGTTCTTTGTCGTCAATCCACGATCTCATAGAGCGGCAATTGTGTCACTTCAGATTTTTTTTATGTGTAGCGCCTTTGTTGGTAGTTGTTCTGGCTGCATTCTTACTACACGACCAAACTATTTTAACTTCTGTTTCTCAATAAATTTGCTGCATGGTGTTGCTACTATACTCTGATAATATTTCTAACTTTGTCTCGGTTGGTTAAGTTGGCCGCTTTTCTCATGCATAGCATTTCGCAGGTGTTAATTTTGCGTAGGTTAGCCTTTGACACTGTCCAAGTCTGGCACTGGTAGCACAGTGTTGGTATGAATTTGCTGTTTATAATATATAATTTGTTTCTTGGCGCTCATAGTTATATTTTGATGTCTTAATAACGGGCAAAATTTGCAGTTAAAAATCTACCCAAAGTATTTCAGGATCCTCGCCGGTACTACGGAGTTCGTGGACTGCGCTGAGATTCTTCGGATTCAGGCTTGAGTCATTTATGGAAGCCTCCTTGGATGGCGGGAAATGCCCATGATCTGCCCCTGCCTTCCCTTGAGGGCTGAAAACTCTACATAGAGCTGCCTTAAGGACGACATTCCGGGGGCCACACCTGTTAAAAGTCAAAGAGGACACCACACAAATGAGGCAACATCTCGACCCACACAAAACAATGGCCACAGTCAACCTAGAAACTTACCGCCGGAATTCACAGCCGGTGAACAAGAAGAAGAAGAAGAAGAAGAAGAGTCAGAAGTAGAACTGAGCACTCAGAGGTTACCCCCTTATGCCAAGATGCTGATCGGTTATTTAAACCTATCTGTCTAACCCTACTCCTGGAATGTCTCGTGTCGTAGGGCAGAAAGAGATCTCTAGAACGAGCCCATCTGTACGTTCGTATATAATACTTTTCAATATAATTTTTCTGCGGTCCATGTTCTGCCTGGTCGACCTCTGGATCTGTTAACGTTAGCGATAATAATGATAATAATAACACAACAATAACAACATCAGCGAGCAGGAGGCAAGTTATAATTATCAGCAGTCACGGGTGCCCTGTTTATTACTTCTTTGGAGTTTGAGCAGGCTATCTGGGATGTACCCATCCAGAGTAAGATTTTTTAAACCAAGTATCAGCGTGAAGGTGACACCCATATCAGTTCCCAGAAACAATTACTTGGTACTCATTCTATAAAGTAAAAAAGTAAAGATCACTTTTCATATTTGTAGGGGCATCGGGCATATAGGAAGAGCACACATATTTTTACAGACCAATCGGCACTAGATGGGTAATGTGGTCTGTATTACGCTGGGCGTCTTTACTTCCCCTGGACATACATCCTGGTACCCATTTAAGCTATCTCGATCTGTGACGTACTTTTTTTATGGTTAGTTGGAAACGGAAATACTTCGGAGGTCCCGGGTAGTGTTGGGAAATGAACAGGCAGATTGACTGGCCGGTTCTGCACCACGTGGTAGTGAATTGATGTATTACAAGCTAGATCAGCGGTTCTCAACCTATGGGTCGCGACCATTTTGTGGGTCGAATGACCCTTTCGCAGGGGTCGCATAAGACCAAGGAAAAACATATTCACTGAAATTATGAAGTAGCAAACAAAATGATTGTATGTTTAGGGGTCGCCAAAACATGAGGAAATGTTTTAAAGGGTCGCCGCATTAGGAAGATGAGAACCGCTGAGCTAGATGTTGTGAGAGCCCTTTATGAGCGAGTGAACAGTGCCCAAGCACTGATAGACCATTACAACCTGGAGAGAGTGGCACGGCGAGGAGTTACCAGGGGATCGTGCCGACGCTCGACACTCTGAGAAGAGGCGAGACTGATGTACAATCAGACTGTTACTGGTGCCATCAGAATTGGAAGTCTTTCCTTGCTGCTGAAGATGAGAACGGAGCGCTTATGGGAGTGTCCCGTGTGCTATGATGTCGATTCTTAATTCAACATTCAACGTGGAAATGGTAATGTGTTTGTGGAGAAAAAAAAACCAACAACGCTGGGGATCGAATCTATGACCTTTGCGTGTGTAGACTAACGCGCTGGCTACTGTCCTGCTGCTGTCCTAAACTACCCTATCTACCAGTGATTCCCAAACTGTGCGCCGCGGCACCCCGGGAACGATTTTTTTAAACATACGAATAGTCATACTTTTACTTAGGTTAGGCCGCGGTGGAAAAATCCTAATTGAAAAAAAGGCCCCGCGACTAAGAAAAGTCTGTGAAACACTGCTTTTTACTAGATTTAATATGCAGAGTTTTTTTTTTTTAGAACATATAGGTTTACCCCCCCCCCCCTTTTTTCCCCCCCTCCCAAATCCCCAATGTTTTCAGACTGTTTTTCTTCTTTTGTTGCTTCTGTTTTGGCCCTCTAAAGGATGCTGGCACCTCTACACTAGACTGTGATAGCTGCACACTTCCTCCCAATAATCCGACTTTAGCAAACCTCTAACTAGTCGTCTTTCACGACATGCCTTGAGTGTAGGGGGTGGGCTGTTCTTTTCCTTACAAACTTGGGTCCCGAAATCCAAACTGACAATGATATTTAAAAAAAAAAGTTAAGAATTTTCACACCTGCAAAAAGCAATATCGCTTTGGTTTGGATCCTTACCGATTGGCACCTTTCCGTCTTTCCAGACTGGTAATCTGGTAGTCTTGATTACCAGTCTGGAAAGACGGAAAGGTGCTAATCGGTAAGGATTCATCTTTCCAGACGATAGTGGTATACTGCGCTATGATGAGGGATGGGACTCACAGCCCATGGCGATGGCCAGTGTGACTAGCAAGACCCGCCCGTGTTAAGAAAAGTCTTCAACAATTATAGCATGGCATTTCATGACCATAGTAGTAGTAATACATTTTACCCCACCAGGACATCACACAGAGCGATAAACACCCAATGACACAAAGTGCCACCATGCGGATGAGGATCACCCGTGGCTCTCCCGGAAACCGCGTTCAGCCGTGAGGCTATATTGCGGCCCCTGGCAAGAGCCAGGGTGGGGCTTCAAAATAACAAAAAACTGCATCCTACAAAGGGATGAGGATCAGGACCATTGTTGTCAACATTTGTATTTACTTTGTTTCTTCTTAGATGCTCAGCTCTCATCCTTTCTGCAGTCATTTCTTAATTCATTATTATTACCTTCCTGCATGATGATGATAATAATAATATATGTATATTTATTGTCCAAGGTTCACTTTGATGAAGTTCTCGGAGAACCCGACGGATCCCACTCTATCAGCTGCGTCTGGAGCATTTCCTATCGATGCTTCAACTGCTGCAAGAACTGCTGCTACAAGATGCTCTCCCTTATCTGTGGTATCCCTCTCGCCTTCTGCTGGGGATGCGAATTCGCCTGCATTACTTTCTGGCACGTGTGGTACGTCACGCCTTGCATGCGATTGTACATGATCAACTGCGGTTGTCTGCAGAAGTTCTACGGCACTTGCGTGCAGTGCTACATTCAGCCGATATGTGAGGCTTGCAGTTACTGCTTTAGCAACATCCGAGTTACGAACTTGTCCGGTTAA